GGGTAAACTGTATAGTATATGAATTACATCTCAATAAAGCTATTACAAAAAAAAGTAAACAATAAAAGACGTTGTCTCAGGAGAGAAGACTCAGAGGAGCAGGTATTCTATCCCTATTTGGAAAAGAAAAAAACTATAGTATGACTATTTGTGCCAAGATGCTCCCTATTCCCTCTTTCTAAAGGGTGCATTATAAAATGGGGAGGGAGAAGGTCTTATTCTGCTTGTTTTCCTTTCCTTCAAGTCTCCTAAAAAAAAAAAAAATCAAATATTTTGAGTATGCAGATACTAATTCTGTGCATCTAGCTAGAAATTATGTATTCTGGATATTGTCAGGTATGTATTACCTATGAAACGAGGCAAAAATGAAGAAAGAAAGAACACCAAGTTCAAAGTTTAAAGTCTTAAAACTTCTCCTTTTTTCCATACTTCCATAAGTGAACATGATACTTCGCCTTTCTGCATCTCAGTGTCCTCTTCTAAAGGTGGAGCAGTATCTACACTACCTGTGACAAATACAGTCACGCATCACTGAACCTCCACAATATGTGCTACAAAATAGAATGTTATGTGATTTGGACATTGTGTGAACACCATATTACATACTTAGCAAAGCTATATGGGATACTGTAGTATGCCTGGACTGACTAAAAAGCCAAGATACTGTACACCTACAGTACTGTATTTCAGCTAATGTATCTGGCAATACATGAGATTGGATGCTGCTGCCTAAGAGTTGAAGCACACACTGCTATACAGTAAAGTTTTTATTTGTAGAGAAGTTCACATTCAAACAATGATAGGAAGTACAGTACAGTACATATATAAGCCAGTAACATAGGCAGTAGATTGACTATCAAGATACATGTATTATAGGTTACACGCGTACTGCACCCTTATATGCCTGGCAGCATAATCACTTTCTATACAAGAGACATGATATACACATGCTATGTGCGGGAAGCTGCTGCGTTTGCTGCATCCAGTTACGTCCACTATGTCTCATTCTCCAATTAGGATTTCTGAACTCTATTATCACCTTATGGGACCACAGACATATATGCGGTCAGATGTTGCCCGGGAACATTGTGCGGTGCATGACTACAGTGTGATGAAAATTATGCAAGTAATGCATGCGTTATACATTTTTGCCAACCATGCAACCCCCTCGCGCATTATTTTCCTAGGTGCACTATGTGCATTATATGTGAGGGTGAGTTATCTGTGTGGGCATGTTATTTGCGAAAAATATGGTAGTTTTCTTAACATCGTCATATTATCATAAGATTCAAAAAGAGGACAGCAGCTATGAGAGCCATAGCCCCAAACCACCAACACCTGAAAGGGCAGTAAGGAATACTACTTATTTTGGTAGAGTCCCAAATATTGAGCTGGGGTCCTAAAGACACACTTTAGTAATATTTACAAATATTTAAGAAAGGTATACAAAAAGATACCTTAAAAAAGGACTTAAACTAAAATGCATAAAATCATAATATTATTAAAATCATACAAAAATATTAAATCTATATAGAGACATTATTCTTCAGTTAAATATAAAACAACATGGGATGTTATATGTTATCTTTTTTAAAAATTAGAAGACACTTCAAAGCTTATTGTTAAATTTAAACTCCTTCTCTACCTACCTTGGGAGATCAAGTAGAAAAGTATTACTACATTTATCAAGAATATAGTAACTCTAGAGTAGAAGAGAATAGAGTTCTAACAATATTCTCAAGTCACTCAGAACATGCTCTCACT